AAAAAAATTATTTTTACGGTGGATATTCAAAAGCACCCACTGATACTGCACCCAAATTAATGCAACTGTTCATTAAAAATGCATCATTTCTATGCCTGTGATTCAGATAGAGAGATGCCCGCTGATGTCATATTTTCCCAATTGAAATACTGATTTATAATGAAAATAGAAAAGAAAGACTAACCTGAGATAAAGAAAAGAAATAAAACGTTACCGTTTGAGCCACTTGATGACGAAGGAAGCGACATTGGAACATGATCCGCGTGAGAAAACTTTTCTCTCCTATTCTTCTGATGCTTCAGATTCTAAAAATTGTATTTTCAATAAGAGTATGAAGGGTGGAAATATACGTCAAACTTACTTCTGTACTGATTTCCAGAACACTTTGGAAGTCTTTACTTACACTAGCCAGCTTCGACTGAAGACCAACCACAACGAGTTGACTAAAAATTAACATTAAAACTGAGTGATTCTAGGAACATTCTCAGTTTGTTCATATTTTTCAGAACAGTCACGTAACTCTCTAAGAAACCTGTTAGCTTGGAAAGTGAGTAACTTGAACGACAATTACAAAGTGATTTGAGAAACTAACATTGAATTAGAAGGAAAGGAAGCGCAGAATTTCCGCTGCCAAATTAACTCACGTGTGACCCGTTCCTTGATTTTTCATGCCTCCATTACGTCTTCGTGAAAACTCTTGTAAGGCTGCTATTTGCTTGTTTAATCCAGTTATGTCCTAGAGTAGCACAAGAACAGAATCATATACTTCACGTCTAGTACTAGGTGATCCTTACCTCTTTTACAATTCTCGACAGATGGTCCATATCACTCTTCTCATCAAAAAGACTTTTCTTTTTCGCCAACTCAGCAAGCCTTTCCATTTTTGCACATGTTTGGCTTAGGTCGCGTCCGATCCTTCTGGAAACAGAAAAAAATGCAGTATGATCCCTTCACGGCTTAAATCAAAAAATGCTTGGATAATGTCTAGAATGGAAACACCAAATCTAACACGATGCTTGGTTTTCTTTTAAATGGGGGTTTTCCACGTTCTGGAGGAAAACTACGGACGGACAGTCTCTCATATCTCTGATTTCATCAGAACGTATAGAATGCTTGTAGTACAATAATCACAATGCAGTGACAATACTGTACGGTTTCGTTTTGGCTTTATTCACAGAACAGCATAGCTAGCAATACCATATTCCCTTACTTGTTTTTTTAGGGTGACTTCATACCAGATACTCATTAGAGGCTACCAAATGCACAGATCAAATGAAAAAGAACCCACTTGGCTAGTTGATTGAACTGTACAGACTCGTTAAGAATCTCCTTTCTTGAATGTGGAATAAATCCATTGGAATGGACCTTCATCTAAAATAAAATCTGATCAGCAGCAAATTTAGCATTTTGTATATCTTTAATCTGACTTCTAAGCCAAATGTATTAAATGACATAGCAGAGTAAAACTTCGCTTGCTTCATGCATTTCATAGCATATAGTACGACTAAAGATGTTACTTCGTAAAAAAATCAGGATTTTTTTTGAGATACGCAATTGTGCAATATACATGAAAGCAGCAATAACTCTACCACTCTTTTGAGTAAAAGTTGTTGCAAAGCCAACCAATCTTCACAAAATATCTTTTCTCTATATAGAAAAAGGTCACTTTTTAATCTTCCCTTTGTTTCTCCTTTTGGAACAGATATTTTTGCTTGAGATTTACTCTCAGGTGCACATATAACAAGCAATATGCCTGGGAAAAGCAGTTTGGTGTAAAGCGGAACTGCCTGTATAGGTAAAAAGGATATTTTTGTTAATTT